CCCTCTGTACAATATGTTCACAAAAAAAATGAAACTAACAAATGCATGCTTATTTAGGATAAGAGATGTGAAGGAAATGAAATCTTTGAGTTGGCTTACATGCTACACAGCGGTGGGAATTAACATGAAAAGATTTAAAGTGTGGCTAGGAAGATGAGGAGAAGCCAGAGCGGGAGCCAGGGGAAGGGAGTTCAAGGAGAGAACAGCCCGGAGGTGGGCAGCGAGATGAGCGTACAGGCTGAAGCTGATGAGGAGAGCGCATAGCAAGCGTCAGGGTTTGCTTGCCTTTCTTTCACTGTCAGGCTTTCTGAATAGTTTTCAGAAACTCTTGATATCAGTTCTGTAGAAAATTATTCTGTAAAGCTCTATATACTGTTCATTCCTTTCCTAGAGCACACAGGTGGCAGGAAAAATCTAGTGATAAAGTCTGTACTTTCACATTATTTTGTGAAAATCTTATCTGGCAATGAGAACATATCTCTATCTTGGTTAAAACACATGCTGTGTTTTCAGAAATGACAGTTTATAGCCAGCCGTAGTAGCAGAAACTGGTCCCTTTCAGATAGGACTTATTTCACACAGAAACAGACTGTACCACAAATGAATTCATACCATCATAGTGAAATAAGAGGGAAAGTCTGTTATCACAGGTAAAACATGATGGAAAATGGTGCGTGTGGTTTGGGCAGAGTTGTCCTCTTGTTGATTCTTACTGTGGTTTTTAGCTTTTGTGCATATGCACATTTTTAATCCTCATGTTTATCATTTTGTTTCTGTCTTCTTCCAAATTTGAATTTTTTCAGTTGTCTGAAGAAACAAAACTGGTTTTCTTTTCATTTTACTCGTATTTAAAAATAGCTTTTACAAACTGTATGCCGTGTCTTTTAGGACTTAAAATCTATTAGAGTATCCCTTGTCGAAAGACTTTTCTTAGATTTTTTTTAGTGTATACCTTCTGCCTTTTGATTCCTAGGCAAAGTGAAGACGTTGAGCAGTGTCTTATAGACTCTCCTCATGTTTAGAAACATATTACAGAAGGCAAGAAGAGTATGAGTTCTACACAGTACATCTTTTATGTGGAGAAGGCCTCTATTAAATACTTCACGTTGAACTGTTGGGTGTTTGTGAAGGATGTTAGTCCCTTACCATTACCTTGCCCTGATGGTATAGAGTATCTGAGTATCTGGGCCTCTCTCATTAGGGAAACATTAATCACTGTGTCCCAGGTCCCAGTATATCAATGTTGAATAAGACATTGATTGATTTTTACGGAGCTCAGAATAGGGCAAAGTGGTATATAGGAAGCATAACATGATTTGACAAATGTAACACACAGAAGAAAATGCTATCTGTGTTTTCTAATATTGAGCAAAACTAAGGCCCTCCAGTTTGCTAAGCAGGTATTCCTACCACTGAGCCTTTCTTCCAGCACTGTATTTTGCTTATTATTATTATTATTTGTCAGTTCTGGGGCTTGAACTCAGGACCTTGGCACTATCCCTGATCTTCTTGTTAGCTCAAGGCTAGCGCTCTACCACTTGACCCACAGTGCCAGTTTCTGTGCATGTGGTACTGAGTAATCAAACAAAGGGCTTCATGCATGCTAGGCGAGCACTCTACCTGTAAGCCACGTTCCAAACCCTGCTCATTACGTTTGAGGAAGGGTCTTGCTTTCCTGTCCTGGCATGTCCTGGCATAGTATGCTATGTCAGTCTTCCTGAGAGGTAGGATAGCAGGTAGCTCTTCACCTAGAAAGGAGTCTTATGAATTTTTTTTCTGCTTGGATTGGCTTTGAACTGAGATCCTACCTATCTTAACCTCCCAAGTTGCTAGAATTACAGGTGTGAGGCACTGGTGCCTGACTGAAAATAATAACTTAAAAATATCACAGTGGAGTATTGTTATAGACATATACGACTATGCTCAGCTAATATGGACATCTTAATAATGACTCTTCCAGTCTATGAATATGGAATGCCTTTCCATTTTTTCTATTTCTTCAAGCAATATTTATAGTTTGCAATGTAAAAATCTTTTATCCGTGTGGTTAAATTTATTCCCAAGTATTGTGTCTTTTTGTAACTTATTAATAGGATTGCGTTTAAAATTTGTTTTTCAGAAAGTTTGTTATTGGTGTGTAGTAACACTAATTTTTTTTTTTTAGTAGTGCTGGAATAGAACCCTGTGCCTCACATGTGCAAAGTGAACACTGTAACACTAAGCTACACCCCCACCCCATCCCTTGCTACTGATTTTTGCTTGCTGATTTTTTTGTAATATTTTTATTGTAAAAATGTTGTATAGAAGGGTTACAGTTACATGAGTAGAGTAATGAGTACATTTCATAGTGTGCATTGTTATCTCCTTTATTTTCTCCCTACCATCACTTCCCTCCCCACCTCCCAACTTATCCTGCCCCCCGGCCCCACACACACATTGTAATGTTTGTTTTCAATGTAGTGTCCTGTACATCTAGTCATCACAATGGGTCAGCCTGCATCCCCATTTAAGCATTCTGCAATATCCCTTCCCCTCCTCAAATTACAAAAAAGTATATAGAAGATGCAGAACACAGGCATCAAATCCAATGAAAACAGGGGTTATACCATGGGAGGAGAACCTACAATAGAAACGAAAGAATCACATAGTGCATTGTAAATACATTAAAAACACTAGCAAGAAAGAAAGAAAAAAAACACTTGTGTCTCTGTATTGGGGTACATTTTTTTGGGGGTCCGGTCGTGGGGACTGAACTCTGGACCTGGGCACTGTCCCTCAGCTCTTTAGCTCAAGGCTAGCACTCTACCACTTGAGCCACAGCGCCACTTCCAGCTTTTTTCTTTTTGCTTATGTGGTGCTGAGGAATCAAACCCAGGGCCTCAGGCATGCAAGGCAAGTGCTCTACCACTGAGCCACCTTCCCAGCCCCTATTGGGGTACATTTTGCTTAACATTATCTCATGTGGTCATATGAACATGGCCTTTGACCTTCTCTGCTTGTCCTAGACATGTACTAGTCTTGCAAACAAGGAAAACCATGGGACTTATTTTTCTTTGGGCCTGGCTTACTTCACTCAATATAATTTTTTCCAAGTCTTTCCATTTCCTAACAAAAGAGGCAATGTCATTCTTTCTGACAGAGGCATAGAATTCATATACATACATACATATATATATATATATATATATATATATATCACATTTTCTTGATCTGTTCATCCATTGAGGGGCATCTGGGTTGGTTCCATATCTTAGCTATGGTAAATAATGTTGCAATAAATATGGTTGTGCTGGTAGCTTTGGTATGACCTTGTTTGTGATCATTTGGGTAAATGCCCAAAAGTGGGATTGCTGGGTCATAGGAGCTCTATGTGGAGTCTTTTGAGGAACCTCCATACTGCTTTCCAGAGTGGTTGAACAAGTTCACACTCCCACCAACAATGCAGTAGGGTTCCCTTTTGGCCACATCCCCTCCAGCATCTGTTGTTACTAGATTTCTTGATTGTAGCCATTCTAACGGGGTGAGCTGGCATCTCAGTGTTGTCTTGATTTGCTCTTGATTTGCATTTCTTTTATAGCTAGAGAGGTTGAGCATTTCTTTGTCTGTCTATTAGCCATTCTTATTTCCTCTTCAGAGAAGTCTCTCTTTATTGCTTGCTGATTTTATACCCTGTAACTTCACTAAATTCATTTATTAATTGGGACAATTTTTAAGTGTAGTTTTTGGGGTATTCTATATATAAGAGCATATTATCTACAAATAGTGACAGTTTTTCCAATTTGAATACTCTTCTGATTTCTCTGGTTCGTATTTTTCAGTATTATGTTGAAGGAAGGTGTAAAAGTGAACATCCTTGTCTTATTCCAAATCTTAGAGAGACAGCTTTTTAGCTTGTCGCCATTGACTATTATGTTAGCTGTTGGCTCATCATGTTCAGTGCTTTTGTCATGTAGAGATGAGTTTTATCAAATGTCTTTCTACATCAATTGAGGTGATCATAACAGCTTCTGCTTCTCATGCTGTTGAAGGACAGATATGGTATGTTTTATTCATTGATTTGTGTTGATGGAACTATTCTTGTATCCCTGGGTTGAGTCTTGTTTGATTATGGTGAATGTTTTTAGTATACCATTGAATTTGGTTTAGTAACATTTTGTGGAGAATTTTTACATCTGTATTCATCAAGGATATTGGTGTATACTTCCTATTTATGTGTATCCGGGTAATACAGACATTATAGAAGATGTTTGAAAAAATCTTTTCAAGATTTGGAATATTTCAAGAATTGGTATCAGGTAGAACTCATTAGTGAAGCCATCTAGTCCTATGATTTTCTTTTGTGGGAGCCTTTTTTTGGATACTGATTCAATCTCATTACATGCTATTGGTTTGTTAAGATTTTTCTATTTCTTCATGATTCACTTTGGGTAAGGTGTATATGCATATGGTCTAAGGTTTGTTGGCATGTTGTCACTGTTTTAACACTAGAGAATAATCAAAGCAAAAGTTTGTCCCAAATCTGCAGTTGATGTATTTAACTTTAGCCAGTGGTACCTTAGAAGGATATTCTACCCTCTTACGCGCTTCCCTGCGACCAGCGTTGACCCAGACAGATTGCATACAGTCACTGATATCTGGTAGTACACTGCTGGATTCTTCCAGAATTTGGGCAGAGTTACTGTGGAGAGCCAGTTCTACCCCCTTCTAGGCTCCTAATTGTTTTCAGTTTCTTTAGCATTTTGAATTATATTCCTGAGAATGCAGAGTATGCTCTGCATTCTTCAGACCTCTGGTATCAGTGGGCTTTGCTTCTGAACTAAATTGGGTGAAGTTTGCAACGGCTTGTGTTTGAACTTGAAATGGGCTTGTAGAGATTACTCTTTGCTGTTGAATGAAGCATGAGAAATAATATATAATCAGGTAGATACTTAAATTGCAGTTGCTGTGTTAGCTGTCTTTATAATACATTATTAAAATTCCTTCTTGCTTTTTTGTTCTAGTTCCCAAAGACCCCAAGCCTCAGTGGAGACGGGTGGCGTGGAGTTATGATTGCACACTGCTGGCCTATGCTGAGAGCACTGGCACTGTGAGGGTGTTTGACCTCATGGGGAGTGAGCTCTTCGTCATTTCCCTGGTGGGTGCATACTTGAGTGATGACCTTGTTCTCCTCTTTTTGGTACTTTCCATGTATAGATACTTCAATGTAGAGGAAGAGAAATACAAGTAAATCAGAATAATAAGCTATGAACTTAAACTAGTCAATCTAGTTGGAGATTTATATCCATGTACTATTTTTTCTTTGTGTTTTGTATTTTGCAGATGGAAACTATCTGGAAATAAGTAAATTCTTGAGAGAGTTAATACTCAATAAGACTTGAGACTGGTAATACTCAATAAGCCTCTGAGTATGAAGGTTTATTGAACCAGGACAGGGGCTAGGGAGAAAAAGAAAGAACTAGGTCACAAGACAACATCTCACAACTTCAGCAGTAAGGCTAGGTAGCACTGGAAAACGTCTGCTGGACCGAGACCTAAGAGTGTGTTTGTATACTTTGGGAAAGGAGAAGCACGGTTTACACTGAACCTACACTGTCTATGGAGAGTGGGCTGGGGAAGATGTGAAGCAGGAAAAGCCTGGGACAGAGGGACAATCCATAGGAGAAATAATAACTACTTTTGAATTGGTGGGGTTAAGTCAGAAACTGGGCCCAGGGGTCACCCCTGATAGGATTGAAATCACGCTGTTGACATAAATAGTTTTTTTGTTAGTTTCCTCCAACCCTGTTCACTGATGAACTTTCCCTATCACTGTTCCAGCCTCTGGCCTTGTAATTAATTTTAGACCATCTCAATTTGTCTTATAAAATTCCGCCGAGGGGAAAAAAATCAGTGAGTTGTCACATCCAGAATTACTTCTAGCGGACTTAGACTTTGTTCCTTATTTAAAATGGGTAGAAATTTAAAGGGCAAGTAGAGAAAAACAATGATGGTCATAACTTTTATTTGCATATTATTTTATGCTTTCTTAATGATACTGATTTTTATTCTCCTTTACTATTCATAGCAATCTTTGGAGTAGATTGATTAGATATCATTTCTACTTAAATGTCTAGAAAACAGAGGTTGAAGGGAACAAAATGGCTATCATGGTAGCTAAGTACTAATTGTCTCCTCAAGTTGTCTAGTGCTTTCTAGTTTTTCTCCTCCTTCCTTAGGTGAACAAGAGATCTGGATGCATTTTAGCATGTGGCCATAGTCATAGGCCAGAGGCCTAACTTTGGGGTTCCCAGAGTTGTAGGGGGTACCCTACAAAAGCAACAAAAGTAAAAGTAACAAGGCCAGAAAGGTTTTTAATCAAAATGGCCACTTTGGGAAGATGGCGGCCAGGTTTAAGTAGAGGAAGAATTGGGGGCAGGGTGAGAGGGATGAGTGATTCGGTCTCAGTCCAGCTGTGACCTGGTTGGTCATTATCTCAGGATAATTTCCTTGCAGAGCAGTCCTGATGTCTTGAGGGCGATGTCTGGTTCTGCTGAGATGGGTGCTTTTGTTGGGACTGGGAGGCCTTAATTTCTCTTGTGGGTATTTTTTTTTTCCTGTTTAAAGGGCAATCTGATATTTCTGGAATCCAAGGTGACTGCAGATTTAAGTCAGAAACTGGATACTTGAGACCCCTCTTGGGGGGAGTGTCCAAAACAGGTATTGTAAAAGTGGACAGTAAGGTTCTTCAGCTATGCCTCTTTTTGTAGCTTCAGCCTTGAGAGCAGGGGTAAGGCTAGGCATTACCAGAAGACAAACTCTGCACAGGTGAGCAAGAATCCAACCCTAAATAAAGGAGACATTTCCAAAACGAGGGTAGAGAGGTCAGGCTTTGATCCTGCTTTTAGTTACCTTAGGGACCTAAATAAAGTCAGTGCTTTTTAACAAAAGCAGTTTCTAATTCCCCGTGATAGCACTGCTTGCGAGCTTTATAAAGAAAAGAAAAATAAAAAACACATTTCCCAGGCTCAGTGCACAGAGATTCTATTTCATTGATCTGAGTAGGACCTGCAGAGTCCTGCAAGCTCTTTCACTTATTCTAGTGAGAAATGTGTTGACACCAATGATTAGGAGCATGATTTTCATTTAGAAATAATGAGTGGAAAAATGTGGAAAAAGCACTCTGGGTTTATAGGAGAAAACTCCTATAAAACCAAACTAAGGTTCACATTACTATTTTTTAGACCAGGGCTGTCTCATGGGACTATAATGAGCACTATATATGTGGTCAAAGGTAATTGTAAATTTCAAGCAGCTATAATAAGAAACAGGTAAAATTTATTTAAGACTATATTTACTCCTGTATGTCCAACATATTAAGATTGCCACAGGTAATCATTATGGTTATTTTTACATTTTTGGTGGTACTGGGGTTTGAATTCCAGTGCTTTAACACTTGAGTCATATGCCAGTCCTTTTGGTTTTAGTTACTTTTCAGATACATTCTTGCTCTTTGTTCAGGCTGGCCTGGACCACATTCCAATTATATACTACCATACTCAGCTTTTCAAAAGTGGAGGTTGGGTCTTGCTAATTTTTTGCCAAGGCTGGCCTCAAACAACACCCCTCCCAATCTCCATCTCTCAAGTAACCAGGATTACAGGCATGAGCCACTGTACCCGGAATAAAATGTTCTTAGTGAGATATTTTGCATTCTTTTCTTGGCATTAAATCTTTGAAATTTGGTGTGCTCATTCGTATTTATTGTGCATCTCAATTCAAAATAAGCATGTAACAGATATTCATTAAATGATTCTGGACTATGGGAAATCATTTGAAGTGTTGGGAGGAAAACATTTTCCTCTACTCTCTTAAATGTACCCTCCTAAATGATTGAGAACTTGCAAATGAAATGACAAATTAACTGATAGATCAACAGGAAAAATGGCATACAATTTTTGTTGACAATAATACTTTTGCCTCTATGGAGCTTCACAAAAACTTGAAAATGCAGGGAAGCAGACTCAGGCTTCTATGCTATTCTAATAAGGGGCTGTGAATTGTGGAGACATGACTAGACAAAGGAAAGAGAATTTGAGCTATAGAGTTGGCATACTGGGAAAGCGGTAAGAAAGAGATGAAGAAAACGGATGGGAGGTGGGGATTGCTTAATAAGATCTGTTTCTATAGACGCGTTTTGGTATGACTCCCGCTCTCTTTTTCCTGGGACAGAGGCGGCACTTTCAGTCAGAGCTTTTTATGTCTTTTTCTTAGGCAGGTAAGTGGCAGAGAGAGAATGTCCCTGCATGTGTTGATTCTGTTGCCTCCAGCTCATCCAAAGTGACATACCTTGCAGTGCTGTGTGATTTGAATCACGTTCAGTGGTGATAGCTGTATTGTATAGGCTTCCCAAGGACTCAGACTTTCAGATCTTTTCACTCTAGTCATATTGAGTGCATGGAAAAAGGTTGACATGGAGTGTTTTAAGTATCCTTTCCTTTAAGTTGCTGATTGGGCAAATGGAAAAATAATTAGAGTGTTTTTTAGCACAGGCTGCTGCTGGCAATAGAAACTGACATTTGAAAGCTTATGTCTGGAAAGAGGCTCTTAAGAGCTCTCTGAGGCTGAATAGCACTATTACTTTCTTTTTAGCAATGAATGTATAATTTGGCTAGAAATTTGCCTACCTAGATGAGCGTCTCATCCAAAGAGGGTGTTGTGACTCTAGCCTTTGCTTGGGAGGGCTGGTCTAGACCTGAGTGTCAAAGTAATGTCTTAGATATTATTCATTTATGCATATGTTAGCTTTTATCTAGTATCTCATCAGTAACATCATATCCCCCTCTTCTACAGGACTCCAGTTTTGCAGGTGATTTGAGCTATGCCATTGCTGGCTTGATATTTTTAGAATACAAAGCAAGTGCACAGTGGTCTGCAGAACTCCTGGTCATCAATTATCGAGGAGAACTTAGAAGTTACCTTGTAAGGTAAAGATCTTGGGAATCAGATTTGATAGATAATGTTTATCTTTCTGGTTTAGTGTCAGATACCAGAATTTTTTATTTCTTCTAGCATTATGAAAAATTTCAGATGTAATATATAAAAATGAATATAATGAAAAGAGTAACTTGTATATAGCTTACATATGGATCCTGTAATTAGAACCTTACATGCTTTCTGCATCATACTCCAGTCCACCTATTCATCCCTCTCTAGCTATTGCAGCATAACGACAAGATGTCAGTACTCAACTACTTTAGCATACCTATCACTAGAGTTCAGTGTTAGCTTATAAGTTTTTTTTGAGGTAAAATTTTATACAGTTACAAAATCTTAATTGTACCATTAGTGAGTTGTGACAAATGCATACGTTTGTGCAATTCAAACCCCTATCAAGATACAGAACGTTGCTGTCATGGTAGGATGTTGTCTTGTATCCCTTTTCAGTGCATGTCTTCTACATCTCTCCTCAGAACAAGTTTAAATTTAACATAGTGTTCATTTTCCCATTGGAGTAGTTTGCCTTAGAGGAATATCATCTAGGATGATCTCTTTTTGCTTAGGCCTTCATTCAAATAATACTTATTCATTCTACTGATGATTAGTATTTTGTGACTACATAGATTCACATACAAATACATGAATTATTTGAGGGTTTGTTTTTCTCATCCTCTGTTGATAGATTTTGAAGTTTCTAGTTTGGGTCTATGGCAAATACTGCTACAATGCCCTTTCTTGTATGAGGCGTTACGGTGTACATTTTAATTTTTCCTGGGTCATTATCTTACAGTAGGATTGCTGGGTTATTGTAGTTATTGCTGAGCAAGCAACAAACAGCCCTAACTGGAGAGAGAGAGATAGTTGTTTTTTTTATAAGAAGCTATTAGATTTTTCACTAACCTTTCCATTGTAATATCATAAGAGCTTTGGTTGTTTTATATTCTCAGCCACTAAAAAAAAACCCTGTCTGAGAAGGGTGTGGCTCCGTAGTCAGAGTACCTGCCTAGCATCTGCGAAGGCCTGGGTTTGAGTCCCAGCACAGCCAGAAGCATTTTGACTTTGATTCAAATGCAAATTCAAATGAAAGCCTACAAAAACCCTTAGGTTTGGGTTGGGAATGTGGCTTTAGTGGTAGAGTGCTTGCCTCATATTCATGAAGCTCTGAGTTCAATTCCTCAGTACCACATAAACAGAAAAAGCCAGAAGTGGCACTGTGGCTCAAGTGGAAAAGTGCTAGCTTTGAGCAAAAGAAGCTCAAGGACAGTGCCCAGGGCCTGAGTTCAAGCCCCAGGACTGGCAAGCAAACAAACAACAAAACCCTGTCTTTTAAACTATCTTTATTTGTTATTCAGTGATATCCATTGTGGTTTAATGGTATTTATTTCTTATTTATCTTCTTAAACCTAGTGTTGGGACAAATCAGAGCTACCAGGAGAGCCACAGTTTCAGCTTCAGCAGTCATTACCCGCATGGGATAAACACTGCTGTCTACCATCCTGCTCATAGGTAAGTGGCTGTTTGGTCTTCTACTTAGTAGACTATTAGGTAGCTATAGAAATCTTGGCACAGATTCTGAGGCTTTATTTGGTACTCTTGTATGTAGTGATGTTTCTATAATATCGCTGTTATCTACTGATCTTGCTTACCTGTCTGGTGACTCAATTTCTCTCAACCAAATAGGGTACTGGGAATCTTACTGAGGAATTCTTTTTTCCTCTTAACTTTCTGTACGTTTTTCTCTTGTTGGTAAAATGAGTATAATACCCAACTTGACATTATCGAGAGAGCTCTAAGTCATACATATAAGTGTCTCATGGAAGGGTTAATTTCTCCCTTCCTATATCTCTCTAGTTAGGGCTAATGCGTGCTGCTTGCTCAGCTCTTCCTGGTAACTGATCTATTCTTCATATAGCATGCATTGCCCTTCTCTGTTACTTGCCAACTGTATTAAGGTTGACAGGAAACTTTAGGCATTTCTACCTCCAGTGAGTCTCCCCCTTTGATTTTGACATTTGAGAATCAGGTTTACACATATTTTATCAGTTAAACAGGCTGTTTGATCTCTACATGCAGTGTGTATCATTTTGAGTCAGATGAACCTTACCTAAGTTTTGCATTTTGGAATGAATGTGCCTGTTGACAAGTTTTGATACTGTCTCATTTTCAGTATGCTTCATTCTTTTTGATTAAACATGTATGCAAGTTTTGTATTCCCTTCTGTCATACGTCTCGCTCTGATTTTTGTTCAGAATTTTATTACTATAATTTTTTTAACTGCAAGAGACTGTATGCACAGACACCACTGTCCTGAACTTTGTGTTATTCATTCCTTACTTCAGAATTTTACCACTTACTCATATGTAGCTTCATATGTCATGGAATCACATAGAAAGACATGAGTCCTGTTATGTGACTTGCTTTTTGGTTTATATTACTTTGTTCATTTGTTTTTAACAATGCCATTTAATTTTTATTTTGTTGTTGTTGTTGGTTGTGGGGCTTGAACTGAGGGCCTGGGCACCGTACCTGAGCTTTTTCACTCAAGGCTAGTGCTCTACCACTTGGAGCTACAGTACCACTTTCAGTTTTTCTGTAGTTAGTTGGAGATGAGTCTCATGGACTTTTTTGCCTGGGCTGGTTTTGAACCATGATCCTCAGATCTCAGCCTCCTGAGTTGCTAGGATTATAAGGCATGAGCCACCAGCACCCAGCGAGGGCATTTAATTTTATTTGTAACATGCAGCATATCTATTTTTTTCCCATAGCTGAAAGTTTTTTTTTGTTTTTAGCTTCTTTTTGTGTATAAAATGGTACTGTATTAAAAATTTTTGTGCATTACTTTGGCACATATTTACGGGAATTTCTGCAGGACATATAACTAGGAGTGGAGTAGCTTGTTAATTAGGAAAATTCATCTTCTACTTTGTTACATAAAGTCTAATGTTTTCCAGAGTAATTATAGAGTTTACATACAATCACATCAGCAGGATATGAAATTATTTTTTATTTCACCTTCTTATTATTACTCTTAATGGATTTATTTCAATCTTTAAAATATTACTTAATTTGGTAGATATAGAAGAGTATCTATTGGCCTGGATATAGCTCAGTGGTTGAGCACATGTGAGGCTCTGGGTTCAAACCTTAGCACCATAGACACACACACATGCACATTTATGCATGTACATACATTCCCTTCTCACTATGGTATTAACTTGTATTACTGTTCTTACTCATAAATTTGAACAACTTTTTATGTGTTTTTGGCCATTTTTGTTTCTATACTGTGAAATACTTGATCATATTTTATTTTGTTTGGCCTTAATATTTTAGTATACTCTGAATATTAATCCTGAATCTGCCATATACATGATAAATGTCTTCTAAGAGAGGACTTGTCTTAAATTTTTTCTTACATTTGTATTTTAGTTTTCTGAGTGATTATTTGCATATAATATCAAGTGTTAGACTTTTCCAAACCACCAAAATTCTTGCTTACTAAAAGTAATCACTTTTTAACTATTAGGTGACTCTTCTGATTCTCATTGCATCTAAATAAAATGCTTACATTGTTATTTTTTGATTTGCAATATTATATACCATCTTTTGGCTTTTCCTTATGGGAGATGAGTGTGTAGTCTTCTTTTTTACTTCATCATCATATGTATACATACAAAATTTTTATTTACTCTCCTAAAATGCCTATCACAAGTTTATAGGATGCTGTTATGGTTTTATATATATCATCCACATGTGAAACAAGAAATCTTTATAGTATGTCACTGTTGTTTTTTCATTCTTTTTTTTTTAACAGTTCATGGCTTTTATTTATTTAAATTCTTTATTGTGATTAAGTGATTACATAAATTTCCCAAATTTCACAGTACTGTGGGATAGTGATGCTTAGTTAAAGTCACAAACACATTCTCACTTTCATGGGGCAAATTGTCTGTTGTGGTCTATAACATTTATGAGTTCTATGAGCTTTGACAATACAGTTATTTCTTCCACATTGGGTCATATGTACATTTCTTTTGTTTTGCATAGCATCAGCTGTTCCCTCTTTTCCACTTGTTCCCTCCCTCCCATCGCTGCCATTAAGTTGCTTAGTTCATTTTGATCAATGTCCAGTGCAGCTGATGGGTCCCACTGTTGTATGTTTTTCCCTGATTCCCGCTAGTTCTGTGTCGTCCTCCTGGTTTCCCTCTGGTGTGCACATATATACCATAAACATGATCAGCAGCATGGGGTTATTTAGTGGTGATTTGACCAGATGAGTGGAAGTCCTTTGTTTCTTAAGTCTTGTTAACTTTGTCGTATCACCTTATGTTTTAGATTTAACATCCACTTATCAGGGAGACCATGTGCCTCTTGTCTCTTTGCTCTTGGCTTACCTCGCTCAACATAATTCCTTCTAGTTCCATCCATTTCCCTCCAAATGCCATTATTTTGCCCTTTCTAATGGCTGCATAATATTCCATTGTGTATAGATACCACAGTTTTTGTATCCATTCATCTGTGGTGGGACGTCTGGGTTGTTTCTATATCCTGGCTATTGTGAACAGTGCTGCAATAAACATGGAGGTGCAGGTGTCCTTGTATCCTGGTTCCTGTTGTTCAGGATAGATGCCTAGAAGTGGTATGACTGGGTCGTAAGGGAGGTCAATCTTTAGCTTTCTAAGGACCCTCCAGACTGCTTTCCAAAGTGGTTTTAGAAGTGTACATTCCCACCGGCAGTGTAATAGAGTTCCTCTTTCTCCGCATCCCCTCCAGCATTTGTCGTTAGCTGACTTTAGGATGTGGGCCATTCTGACTGGGGTAAGGTGGTATCTCAAGGTTGTCTTTATTTGCATTTCCTTTACAACCAGGGATGGTGAACATTTCCTCATGTATTTCTTTGCCATTTTTATCTCTTCTGAGAAGTCTCTTTAATTCCCTTGCCCATTTAGTCATTGGTTTGTTGGGTTTGGGAGAAATTAGTTTCTTGAGTTCCCTATATATGCCGGATATTAACCCCTTGTCTGATATATTGCTGGTAAATATTTTTTCCCAGTTAGTTGGTTGTCTTTCTAGCCTGGTTACTATGTCTTTTTTTTTTTTTTCCCCCCCCGGGTCCAGTTGTGAGGCCTGAACTCTGGGCCTGGGCACTGTCCCTCAGCTCTTCAGCTCAAGGCTAGCGCTCTATCTCTTGAGCCACAGCGTCACTTCCGGCTTTTTTCTTTTTGCTTATGTGGTGCTGAGGAATCGAACCCAGGGCCTCAGGCATGCAAGGCAAGCGCTCTACCACTGAGCCACCTTCCCAGCCCCTGGTTACTATGTCTTTAGCTGTGCAGAAGCTTTTTATTTTAAGGTCGTCCCATTTGTAGAGTCTCTCTCCAATTTGTTGTGACCGTGGGACTCTGTTTAGGTGTTTTTTCATTCTTATTTGTAATTAAAAATATTTGGCTTTATAGTTTGCCACGTATTTGAGAAATGGATTCCATGTGGAACTTAGTGGTGAGCCGATGGCAGACAAGGAGCAATGAAATGAAGTATGTGAATAGGTGACATGTGCTATGACAAATCAGAGAGTTAAGAGTGGGAGAGTAGGATGCAGGTGAGACTTTCAAACAGAGTGGCTAGGTTGTCTGCCTTGGGAACATTACCTTTCCCCAAAGCAGGGGTTATTGTTACTTGGTCTGGGAGGGGAAGGCTCTTTGCAGAGGGAGTAACCAGAGTAGGAGTTGGAGGGGTCTGCTTAGAATTTTGCAGAAACAGGAAGGGGGCTAGTTTGGATAACATGATTGAAAAGTAGAGAAATAATCTGAGTTGAAAAGTATCACAGTGGAAGAGAACTTCCTAAGGGCTTTGTAGGCAGCACGTAGGCACTCTATTCTTTTCTTTTTTTTTTTAGCTCTCCTATTCTGATTTATTGTATTTGTTTTCCAGGCATGGTTGTACATACCTGTAATCTCAGTGTGTAGGAGGTTGAGGCAAGGGGGTATGAGTTTGAGGCCAACTGGGGTATATAGCAAGACTGTCTCAGAAAATAAATAATAAAAACCTGCCAAGTTTTTAATTAACCCCTAAGTTTACCCCTGCCCCTGAGTATAAGTCTCTTTTCATATATTCCAGTGCTGTGTATGTTTCATCTTCTGTTTGCAGGGTTTTTTTTTTTTTTTTTGTTGTTGGTCATGGGGCTTGAACTCTGGACTTGGGCACTGTCCCTGTGCTCTTCAGCTCAAGGCAAGCGCTCTACTGCTTGAGCCAGAGCACCACTTCCATGTTTTATATACTGGAAGAGGTATCTCTCAGAACTTTCTGACCTGCTCCGGTTGATTTCAGGTATCATGTAACTCTTGCTTTGGGATTTCATTCATCTTCATTCTGAGAATTGCTTGTACATTTCTCTCTTGTTGCATGACCTGCTTATGGTCTCTTGCATTTTCTCTGTTGAATTTTTTGCTGTTTTGGCGGATGGTAGTCTTCTGAAATTTTCTGGGGAAGAAAACATGCTTTTGAGATTG